TTTTTGATTTATAATATTATATTTAAAAAGCTAACAACTAAAAGTCAAAAGTCAGAAATCAAATTAGAAGATTATTATAATATTATATTATATTATATTCAACAAAAAGTCAAAAAATCATTTTAAGATACTTTTTGACTTAAAACATTTTACTTAAAAAGCTACCTACAAAAATTAAAAACCCTTTTAAAGATTATTTATATTCATACTTTATAATACTATCATAAATAATAAATTGGCTTTGCAATTCGATAATATTAAATAACACATAATACTAGATAACAAGGTTAAGGGTAACAGTTTTTAAAAAGCGTGGCAAAACCAAACGACCAATCAGAAAGCTAAAATGATAACAGATGCCGAGACCGACCCCAGAATTTTAATAAGCGACCGGGCTCGTCGTCACAAGACCTCGGCTGCACTATCCATCACCACCAAGGCAACCGGATCCACCTCTAACTCAACAACCAACAACGGGGCCGTTGGAGCCGTGGCCACCGAGGTCCACCATCCCACCACCACAGGACCCAGCTCCCACGAAGGTACCGGCAATCGAGGGAACTCCAAACGCCCCGAAAGAGAGGGCTCAGAAAGAGCACGGCGGAGGGAGTTCATGAAGAGGAAACAGTAAGAACAACGGAAGCGGAAGGCGACAAAAGCCAACAACTCCATCTTCGGAAGACACCTACTCCGCCCCCACCAACCCAAGACCGTCACGAACCAGGCCAAAGTGTACCAATAGAGGTCGACAACCAGACGACAGCCCTAGGAAACGCTGACCACCCCGCCACACAGGGGACTAGACCGGCCGAAGACATCCTCTCGGACGGAGTCCTCTATGTGGAGGGACCATCCATACCCACGGCCGAGGAATCGAGGCGGAACTGGACTTCTAGCCATTTCCACTCCGAAATCTTCTCCCCCCCCCCAGCTAAGCAATACCCAAGTACCACCGGGCGCGAATCTACTCGAGAGGGAATGGAAAACGCGCCTCGGCTGGAACACTTGGACCGGAACATCCGTACATCTGATGGGTCGGAAATGCAAGGTGGGGAAATCACCACGCAGGAAAAGTTTACCAAAATGACCCAGTCCCATAGCTCGGACGTCTAAAGCGTCAATTACATTGAGCGAGTTTACAAGCTGATAGTTGGCTATTTTAGAAGCGGACTAGTCGGCTAGTGCGATTGTAAAGATTACACGCAAAACGTGTACTACTCGCTCAGTAGTCAACTAGCTAGCGAGTAAAAACCACGTGTACTACCCCGAGGCGGTTTGCCATTGTGAATATTAGGTACCTACGTTTCAATTAAACTAATATTACGTTTTTTAATCGACATTTCTGTGTAAACTACTATTAAAATGAAGTGGAACACAAGTAATATTATACAATTTCTTAATGTGTACCAACAGTACCATTTGTTATGGAATATAAAAGACAAAGACTATTGCAACACAAAATTAAAAAATGAAATTTTCCAACGTTTTTATAATGAACTTAATGAAAATCAGTTAATTGGAGAAATGGATGTAAAGCAATTGAAGGCTAGAATCAAATCCATTAAAGATGTGTACAGACAAGAACTACACAAAATTGAAAAAAGCAAGAAAAGTGGAAGTGGTACCGAAGAAGTTTATTCACCAAAGCTTGCTTGGTTTAACGAAGCAAATTATTTGTCAGAGGTTTTGAGTACAAGAAATAGCAAATCAAATTTGGTGAGTAAAAATTTTTAATTTTAATGATTATTTAGGTATTTATAAATTAATAATAATTAACAGATCATTTTATATTAATTATTATTTAAACTATTATTCCAACTTTCTCCCACTGCCATGGCAGAGGATTTTCTTCTATGAAGTGGGTAGCATATGCTCATCTGACATCCTCAGCAGCACGTTTATAATTATTGCTACCTAAATTATTAATAGGTTGCAAATTGTTAGCATTTTCCCTCCATATTCCAGGTGTTATATTTCCAATATTTAAATCCTCTCTGCGAAATTTATTTAATAAATCTAAATTATTTGTACATTATCATTTTTTATAATATTTCTAGGATCTATCACAAAACAGTGAAGAAATAGAGCCAGATGAAGACGGTCAAAACTGCTCGGAATATGTTGTGTCTAACAACGAAAGCAGCTGCCCAAAAGAATTCCACAAATAGAAGCAATCAACAGAAATGAGACCACCAGCAGCATCAGTGAAAAGGGTCAAAAAACGAGTGGTATCCGACGAAAACTCAAATTCTGAAATATCAGTCGCGATTCAGCAATTGGACAAAATTGCACAGAATGCAGCAAAGGAGAAGCTATATGACCAGTTCGGAAAGTTTGTTGTGGCTGAGCTTCGTCAGTTCCCGCAGCGACAAGCAATTTTACTACAACAGGAAATTCAGAATTCTATCATTCGTTCTAAGCTAACATCTTTGGAGCCTGCGGTTAATTTAAATTCCCGAGAAGCAAGTCATGTTCCATTTTCACCAGTCCCATTTTCACCATCTTCTTACTATTCGTTGCCTACCTCTTCAAATGACGATGATGTTTTAAAACAGGTTATGTTTCAAACATTTAGACCAAGTTCGGTGTAATACTAAATATTTACATATAAATATTTGTAACTATATTTTTATTAAATACATTTCTTTGAAAAAACGTATTGTTTTAGTTCACAAATTAATTGAATTAATGTATTTTTTTTAAAATGTCATTTAATATATTTTGCATACCTATATCTATAACTAACTACAACTGTGTTTTAAAAAAATTCTTAAAAAAAATATTTAAGTAGTATTTAAAATCAATTAAAAAAAAAGTATATAGAATACTATTAAAAAACATTTGTGCTAAAGTATTTGAATATTACTTAAATACTTATAATATATTTGAAACAAATTTTAATTACTACTTTTTAAGTTATACAAATATTATTTTTTATATTTCAGTCTTGTGCCTATTTATCTTACATTACAAGAAATATAGAAATGATTTTAAAATGGCATTTTTAAATTAATTTTTACTTACCTCAATGAATGGTCGAAGGACGAAAGAAATCGCCGATAGCACTTCAGGCAAAAATATCGATATAGTCGATTCGGGAACTCGAAAAAGGAATTGCAAAGACTTAAAAGAATTGCCAGTTGCTAGGTAACGTAGTGTTACTTCAAGTTTTGTGATTACTGGGATTGCCATTCTTATAACTGTATCTTCTTTTTTTGAGCATTCCATCTATCATCTTCAGTAAATCTTCAAAATGGGTACAGTCTAATCTCAAAATATTGCGATAAGCTGAAGCGTCTTCGTCCTTTTAGTAAACTGCTCGATGCACCATACATCTTACGTCTGCCTATCCATTGTTTCACCTATATATTTCTTTGCCTTTTCCGCTTTTCTTTTTTTTTTAACTCCTTTTTGATAGCATGAGCTAAAATAATAACACCCGCACGTACAATTTCCGTCGAAATTTTGTAAACATTGAAACCATAAATGCCAGCAAGTAGTGAATAAAGTAGACCAGCTTTCAACTTTACTCGCGAATAGTTAACAATCTGCTAGTTGTCTAGTGAACATGATTACACTAGGCGAGTTTACTAGCAGATAGTGAATTTACCAACTATCAGCTTGTAAACTCGCTCAGTGTAATCGATGCTTAAGGCAAACTCCGCAACCAAGGCGGACCCAATACTACGCACACCGCAGCTGGACAACGCCCGCGATTAACGGCTTGGTGGGGGAGTATGACGCGAACCCGGCGACGGCCGTTTACTACAACGGACGCCGCCGACCGCATTTATAGTCTCCTATCAGCCGAGAGTTCGCGGATCGCGATACCGACGCGTAGCACCCCGCACCTTCAAGAGCGTGAAGAGCAGTGGCGTAGACATGATTTCTGAAAGGGGGGGACCAATAAAAGAAAACGACATAACTAAATGGGATGAAAAATTGAAAAAATCTCCCATCCTCTCAAATTTTTTTTACCATTTTATAATTTTTTAAAAAATTTTATATAGTAAAATAATTAACAATAGGAACAATAACCATATTTGAATAAATTCAAAATTTACATCCAACACAGTGTTATGGAAAATGTAGCGATTGAAACCAGTAAAGTACACAATATCTATCTATATCTATCTATCTATCTATATCTATCTATCTATCTATATCTATATCTATACTCTATACTACTATATAAAATAGAATCCCTTTTTTGTATGTACGCGCATAACTCAAAAAGTACCCAACGGATTTTAGTACAGTTTTCACTAATCAATAGGTCTAGATTCAGGGAAGGTTTTAATATACAATTTATTCGTCTAACTTAATTAATAAAATTAAAAAATTAAAAAATTATTTGTCTTTACATCCGAATATAGTTAAATAGCATAAAATTATCCCCCGTGCACAGATTTCTCTTGCGCATTGGCACTTTTGTAAGATTTCAAAGACAGCGACTCGAGTTCGAACCACGATATCAGATACCTTCTTTTTGCATTTTTTTCCCACTTTTCACTCAACTTATCTTAGTTTTGTTTGTAGAAACCATAGACCTTATACTCTTATAAGGTCTATGGTAGAAATATAATAACTGAGTTATTTCAGTATACAGATAACACATTAATTATCATTGTCGAAGCGTATGGTGTGGGGAGCTCCGTGTATATGTATGGACAGCTCCTGTGTATATGTATGGACCGTATTTCTTTTTTTTTTTAGTTATCTCTGCAACGTCTACAGTGGAAGTGGAGCACGTTCTCGACGTATTAGTGTTATATTGAACAGGCGCACCAAGCGAAAAAATAATTGTACGTACGATTAAAACGACGTTTTCAGTCGATATAGGTATTAATTTTATTTTTGAAGTGGACTGTCACGGTTGGTTTTTGAAGTTGTAGTTACCGTACGTTTGCATTTTATGCCTGTTCGCGCAATCAAAATAGACCAAAATACTCACACTGTCAGTTTCGCAGGTATTTCCACGCCGCGCGCGTGACATAACGCGTTATCGAATGCTATTGACTCTTATCGTGCGCGTGGTTGATAATCACAACACGATAATAATAATTGGTTCTTTGAGCGCACAGTCGAGACACGTCGTCAGTCGTTTACCAAGCCGTCTAGGCAATTACTGCGTGTTACGTGTGATCGCTCGCCGTACACCATCGTTGTTATTATTATTATTATTTAAAAATAGTAGTGTGGTGCCGTGTTTTATTTTGCATTTTTTGTTTTATATTGCCATCCTATTTTACCTTTCCACCTATTGTATTGTTAGCCTTTCGGCAATCAAACAGTGCCTAACCGAAAGTCTACTATAGGACGTAGTACGGAAAATGCTAAAAGAGTACGCTTAGTACGTAGCAATGAAAATTCTGTTGAACGAAACAATAGACTTTTACAAAATCGTGAAAGAAATAAAAATTTAAGAAATGTTAATGCATGGTTTAATAAAGAATACTCTGCAATGAATTACGATTTTACTATTGATTACAAAAATGATCCGATGGTTACATTAGGTGCAATGTCTATTGTTTGTCAATATTGTTTAGCTCTAAAATGGAAAGATGAATCTAAAGGAATGTGTTGTTCAAATGGTAAAATTAAATTAGTAGAGATTTGTCCTCCTCCTGAACCAATGAATTCTCTCCTTACAGGTGATCATCCTAAACATGGAGAATTCAAGCGTAACATACGTCGCTATAATAATGCTTTTCAAATGACATCATTTAAAAGTCGTAAAATAGTTGAAGGTAATTTTATGCCAACTTTTAAAGTACAAGGCCAGGTATATCATTTGGCTGGCAGTCTACTACCGAATAGATCTGACGAATACAAATTTTTGCAAATATACTTCATTGCCGATCCTGAAACTCAAGTGACAACTCGATGTAACATAGATTCTAGGAAACTGTTAGATAGCTCTTTGATCAGGTCATTACAAGATATGTTGCACTTACATAATATATACATACAATCTTTTAAAACAGCCATTGAATGTGTCCCTCCAAATGTTCCCGATTACAATATAGTCATACACGCTAGCAGGGTACCAACAGGTGAACATCGAGGACGTTATAATGCGCCATCTACAAGCGAGGTAGCTGTAGTGATATCTGGCCAACAATTTCATAAACGAGATATTGTACTGTGTAGCCGAGACGATAATCTTAAAAAAATATCTAAAATTCAGAGGTCTTATGACAGCCTGCAATATCCTCTAATGTTATGTCGTGGTGAAGATGGATATTCTATCGATATTCATCAAATTGACCCTCATACTGGAGTTCCATTACAAAAAACCGTTTCGTGTATGAATTATTACTGTTATCGCATTATGGAAAGACAAAACAATTGCAATATGTTATTCAGATATGGTATGTTGTTAAACCAATATTTAGTCGATCAATATTCTAAAATAGAATCAGAACGTTTAGCGTACATACGAAACAATCAGACAATATTACGAGCTGAAAATTATATACATTTGCAAGATGCCTTGAACTCAAATGAGCCGAGTACCGAAATTGGACAATTAGTAATTCTACCATCATCATTTACTGGTGGACCACGATATCTTCACGAAAAAACACAAGACGCAATGACCTATGTAAAAAATTATGGCAAACCTGACCTATTTATCACTGTAACATGTAATCTAAACTGGGAAGAGATTAAAACTAATCTTCATTCTAACGCACAGCCGCAAGACAGATATGACATAGTCAATAGGGTGTTTCATTTGAAAATACAAAAACTATTGACTCTCATTAATAAAGCTAATATATTTGGTGAACCACGTTGTTTTATGTATACGGTCGAGTGGCAGAAACGTGGCTTACCACACATTTATCTTCTATTATGGCTTAAAAATAAAATAACACCAGACCAAATTGACAATGTGATTTCAGCAGAGTTGCCAAACAAAGAAGATGATCCATTATTGTTCAACTCTGTAGTCAGACACATGATTCATGGACCATGTGGAGTTTTAAATACAAACTCTCCGTGTTTGACGGAGGGAAGGTGCTCAAAAAAATTTCCAAAGTTATTTCAGAGTCACACATCAACTGGCGATGATGGTTACCCCAAATATCAGAGACTATCACCTGAATAAGGCGGACAAATTGCTATAATTCGAAATAATGATATTGATAACAGGTGGGTAGTCCCTTACAACCCACTGTTGCT